AAAACCATTGAGTTAAGATTATCAGCAGCATCGTCAAGTGAATCGATTTTTAAAGAAAGTATTCCTCCTTATCAAGAAGCCCTGAAAAAATCTGAAAAATAAAAAATAAAAATTGTTTATCAAGCCACCGTTTGTTCAAACAATCCGGAGTACAAAGAAAAAGTGTATTTTGGACTCAGCGAGACATCTTTTAAAGTTCGATACGCAAACTACCACAAATCTTTTAATTCAATCAGATATAAAAATGATACAGAGTTATCTAAAGAAATATGGAAATTAAAAGAAAAAAATTTTACACCTTTTGTTAGATGGAAAATTGTTAAACATTGCAAACCATGCGACCCAACATCAAGAGTGTGCAACCTCTGTTTGAACGAGATTAATTAGAATTTGAAACTTCAAACCTCTGTTTGAAGTTTTGAATTCTAATGTATAAAGGTAAAAACCTACTTAACACAAGGAGTGAAATAATCTCGAAGTGTAGGCACAAAAATAAATTTCTTATTTCCTCCTATGATACCGCAGATTGATCCTGATTGGTTTACGTCACTTTTACGCCACGTGATACTCTTAAAACTTAAAGTTTTGTTTCCATGGAGTCATTAGAACTCACGCCACCGTAATTTTAATTGTAATTTTAACGTCTTTTTTAAATTTTGTAATATATGAAACTTAAAGTTCCATAATAAAAGTTTTTTCTTTTTTCGTTTTTAATTATATATATATACATGGCCGGCGCGAGTAGGTGTCACGTGGGGGGGTGCCATTACAACTTTTGCCGACTAAAAAAAAAAAGAAAAAGGTCCTCGTTTTCCAAAATTTGCCGACTGCCATTACGACATTTGCCGACTGTCTAACCTATATCAAAAGGGTCGACATTTGCTGACTAACTAGTCCAAAAGGATCCGATTTACCGAATAAGAGTCCAGTTTGCCGACTAAAAATCCTACACCCCCTATCGCGCCGGCCTTGTATATATATATATATACATATATATATATATTTATATATATATATATATATATATATATATATATATATATATATATATATATATATATATATATATATATATATATATATATATATATATATATATTTATATATATATATATATATATATATATATATATATATATATATATATATATATATTGTTTAAATGAAAAACAACATTATTAATAGAAGTTAAAGTTTCGTGTCATACACGGCAATCAATTTATTTATTCGAAAAACAAATTCTTTTTTGCTGATTCAAAAGGATTTTTAGGAGTATCAAAATGTTTTTTGATATTTCAATTCCATTATTATCCTAGTGCATGCAAATGTTTAATTTGATTTTCTTAACTTATTTAAAATTATGTCGAAGAAGACCTTTTATAATAACCTATAAGCTTACATTGTGCACTCGCTATTAGAATTTTTGTATTTTTAATTGCATATTACGATTTCTAAAATTCACATTTTTCTCAATTACATATTACTATTTCTTAATTACAACGTTCATATTCTTGATTACATCTAATATTATTTCCAACACTATTTCTATCGCCTTAACTGATAAAACTTTTCTTACTTCTTTCTACTTTTTGGAAAAAAAATTGTTTATTAACTGCTAGTTTTATTAAATTTAAAATACAATGTACTAAAATTTAAATTTTAAATATTTAACAAGATAATCATTTTAATTATTTAACAAGATAATAATTTTAAATACTTAACAAGATTAAATAACTTAATTATAACTTTACTTTTTTTTAATTTTTGTGCATTTTATAAAAATATCTTTATTTTGTACTTCAAAGTCGATACTAACGATGTCTTTATATAATATTTTAAAGTAATTACCTATATATATATATATATTATATATATATATATATATATATATATATATATATATATATATATATATATATATATATATATATATATATATATATATATATATATATATATATATATATATATATATATATATATATATGTGGCGTGGCGCAGTGGTTAGACCCCTTGCTTTATATGCAAGAGATCAAGGTTCGAAACGAGCCTTGGACATATTTCGCGTCACGGTAAAAAAGGAGGTGTGAACTTTCTGGTTAAATATATATATGGTTAAATATATATATATATATATATATATATATATATATATATATATATATTATATATATATATATATATATATATATATATATATATATATATATATATATATATATATATATATATATATATATATATATATACATACATATATATATATATATATATACATATATATATATATATATATATATATATATATATATATATATATATATATATATATATATATATATATATATATATGTATATATATATATATATATACATATATACATATATACATATATATATATGTGTGTGTGTGAGTGTGTGTGTGTTTTGTGTTGTTTTTATCATGGTGTTGAGAAAACAAAACTTAGCTATACATTTTTTTCGTATAATTTTGCTTCTCCATTGCTAAGTAACTTTTACGCCACTCTTGTTATCAAACCATAGAAATTCATGAATATAAATACATGCCAAAAGATCTAGAATATCGAAAATATCTTTTATGATACTAATCAATCTTTTTAACTTTAGCCAAAATTTAGCTAAATATTTAACTTATTTATAATTTTTAAGAAACTACCAAATGGGCACAGGACCTAAAAAAACCGTCTTTTAAACGTTCAAAAGACGTTTAAAAAACGTTTAAAAGACGTATTTTTTATATTCCGTGCCCACTGGGTAGGCTGACCCTAGTACCAGTTTATATTTTAATAATAAGGTGATTGTTACCCTTATTGATTTTTTTATTAAATAAGTTTTAATGTCGACTACAATTAAAAAAAGTAAATTAAAAGATGATAACAAATTAAAAAAATTAAAAAAACTAATGATTATTTAAAATAAATTAAATTAAAATTAATTAACAGTTATAAAGTAAATTTAATTAGGAATAAATTTAAAAAAATATAATATAATAAATTATTAATAAGTAAAACAATAAATCTATGAAACTGATTTATTGTTTTACTCCTAAAGTATTTTTAATTAGTTATCAATAAACTTTGCAAAAAAATTATTAAGTATTCAAGATAAGCACTGCATGAATTTTCCAAATTTTTACATAAGTTGTACATTTAAAAAAGAGTGTTTTTAATTAAAAATAAACTTTGCAAAAAAATTATTAAGTATTCAAGATAAGTACTACATAAATTTTCCAAATTTTTACATAAGTTGTACATTTTAAAAAAACAAGCTAGTTATTAACTGTTGTAGTTGAGTAGTAATTACAATGAGCTACATAAAAAAAGAAGTTGCAAGAGTCACATCTTATGTTAATATTATTAAAAAAATGTGCTACCATTGAAAAAGTAAAAAGAAACCTAACGCATAGCAACTTCAGTTCTCTAGATTAAAAGTTGCAGATGTTACGTGCCAATTGCCTCCAGAATTTGCATTTCTGGTAAGAAAATGTTAAACAAATGTATGATCATAAAGGTTATACATTTGTTTAAATTTAGTATTAAGTAAGTATGTAAACTAAATTATTGTGATAAAAAGAACACAATGGTCTTCATGCTGTTATAAGTCCTACGTTAGAGTGCCGAGTTAAAAAATCAAAAGACCTGAGGTTTGATATTCCCATAAAAACGTTTGACGAAGAAACTTCATCAAATGTTTTAATGCTTTTCTGCAATTTTATGTCTTTTTATTGTACTTTGAATTCAAAAAAGTTAATAAATATTGTTTCAAAAATGATTCACAGACCAACGTAATTAAATGATTAAGGAACGTAAGGTTTAAGTATCAAACTCGCATAAAAATAATTGAACACATAAGTGGATAATGGCGTTATGTTACTCCGACATGGAGCTAAAAAATCTCAAGTTAATTTTTCGAATAGATTTAGTTCTAGATATTTATCTATAGCAATGATATGTAAATATTTATGGAGCAACAAAGAATTCAAAAAACCATTAATAATGGATGCATTCATTAAAGTCCCTTTGCACATGCATCCATGTTATGCATTATCGCGGGTGAATTGATGTCTAATATAACATTCACAGTGAAAATGGTATTTTAGCACATTTAGCACATTAGCGTTGTTATTAAGTTCAAGTGAAATAATGTGACTTAAAACCTTTATTTGCATAAAAAATGGAAACGTATTTTTGTAACATTGCTTTCATCTACTTAAACTTTCAAATAATTTTTTTTTAATAGTGAATAACAATTTGTTAATTTCAATAACGCACGCCTTAAACTTAATTTTCCTTTGGGACTTTTATTTTTTACATCGTCGAATTTAACGCTTAGGTTTATGCCATAATTTGTATTAAGAAGTTATACAAATTATGCCATAATTTGTATTTGTCATTAACTTTTTAAATTTAAATCTAACCCTAATACCAACAAACAATTAATAAATAAATTAGGATTTTAGTTTATTTTCCATCGGGATCAATATGCAATCATTAATTAAAAGTTTTTTTAATAAAGTAATAACTTGGGATTTAATCAAATTGTATTTATATATCCATCATTTTTAAATACATTTTAATTAAATTTCACTCACGTTGATTTATACCTTATGAGGTATATAATCAGTTTAAATTGTGTTTCAAATTTTCTTTAGTTATAATTGTTAATCATATACAATATTGTTATAAATTTATATTAATTTAAAAAAAGTTTTTTAACGACAATTTATTTTGTATATTATATTACATCTATAAATGTATTCATGTATATATGTATGTGTTATAACACTATAGGTTTATTTTAGTAGTATTTAATATACTTTACATAAAACTAAATTTTTGACATATTAAATAAATATATAATATATTATATACATTTATGTATATATTATATGTTAAAACTATATATTATTATATATAAGTATAAACAAAGTGATGTATATTTTACATCAATTATATTTTAGAAATACTAGAAGTTCGACTATGCTCCTATATATATGTTTAGTGAACTTACTTCTACCATTGTCTGTTGGAGCAGCCAGTGGAGCAGCTTTAGGAGTTATAGCAAAGGTTGGCGTAGATGCTGCTTTACAACAAATTGATGATGTTTGGAAGGGAAAAACTGTAAGATATTGGAAATGTGCCGTAGAAAACAGATCCAGTAAAACGCTTTATGCTTTAGGAACAACACAAGAATCAGGAAGCATGACTACAGTCTTTGCTGATATTCCTCCAAAAAGTACGGGAGTGTTTGTGTGGGAAAAGTCTAGAGGAGCTGCAAAAGGGGCAGTTGGCGTTGTTCATTACAAATATGGCAACAAAGTTCTTAACATAATGGCATCCATCCCTTACGACTGGAATTTGTATAAAGCTTGGGCTAATGTACATTTATCGGACCACAAAGAAAGTTTTTCAGATTTGTATAAAGGAAAAAATGGTACTAAATATCCTACTAGAGCAGGGAATTGGGGTGAAGTTGATGGAACAAAGTTTTTCCTAACTGAAAAAAGCCATGCTGAGTTCAAAGTTATTTTTTCTGGATAAGAATATTCGAAAGTTAGTTATAAAATATAATTTGTATTAAATTAATACTTTTTGCTCTATTAAAACAGCATATACAATATTTATAAAGTCTTTTTATTCTCATTCCTATTTAATTATTAGGGGATCCTTTTCCGTTTAATTATATTTATTGATGTAAATCATACCTTAGTTTTGTGTAACATGTAACAATAAATCGAAGTTTTGTCTCTATTTGTTTCTTGTAATTTGCCTTACACTTCTATTATTTATGAAAACTTGCCAAATAAAAATTTTTATGCTATTTTTGCTTTTTTTTTTATTATTTAGCGTTATTAATTAATCTCAATTAATCTCAATCAAGATAAATAGAGCTAATAGAAGAGTGGAGCAAGAAGAAAATTATTTTAATTATTTTAATTTAGAAGAGTGGGTCAAGAAGAAAATAAATTGTTTTATCACCACTGTTTACATAGTAAACAGCAAGAAAAAGTCATAAATTATTTTAATAAAAGTTTTAAACACGTTAAATTACGCGCGTTAAAATATAACAATAAATTAAAAAATAATAACAATACAAAAAAAAATTGCAACAAAAGTTAATTCAAATTGCTAAAATAGAAATTCTATTTTATTATTCTATTGCATAATAAAATAAAAGAGTAATAAAATTAAAACTGCAACAAAAGAGAAATGTAATAACGTGCTACAACGTGCCTTTTTTACAAAAGAGAAACTCCTTGGACTGGTAAATAATGCTATCTAATAACTACCTACATACTGTTGATCTCTTAAATTTAAATAATCTATAATTTTTCGGGAAGACGCAAAAGAATCAGCAACAGCAGTACGTTTTATTAATAACTATTTTCACAGAAATTTATATTATTCATGCATTTTAATAGAAATATTTTACATCAAACTCTTTTTATATTTAGATATTCAAATTCTTTCCTACAGTGATTTTTGTAATAGTTTAGCTTTTAGTTGTATTTTGATGTTTTCATTAAAATATTGTTTCCTCAATATTGGATTTGATAAAAACTTAGCTTTAAATCAGTTCTTGGAACAACAAAGTTATTCATTGAAAATTGAGTAGGATATTTTTGAAGATTCTACTAAAGTAAGACTGACATATATTAGTTCATGCTTTGTTTTAAACACGAAAAGTAAAACTTGGTTAATAATAAGTTTATAGACAAGCTTTAGGTAACCCCTCAAAAGAGATTCTCAGAAAAGAGTTCTGTGTGCACCAAATAAAGTTGCGATCAAAATAATAGTAATGTGCTCAAAATTAACGAATCAATTTGTTTTTTTCTTAAAAAGTTACTTTTAATGCAAATTGAATAATGAATTCTGAAATAAATAGATGTAAGATGATATACCGACAAAGATAATTTTTTTTATTTTTGCTATTATTTACAAAAACTTTATAATTATAAAAAAGGTTGGACATAATAATAGTAGTATTTAGTGTTTTTATGTTTAATTACAAATAAATGTTTAATCGCATGTCCGCTATTTTGAATCACAGTTTTTCCCCGATTTGGAACGAAGTTAATCAGATCATAATAACGTTTAAAAAAAGTTTTTCTAAACATCCTGAAAAACATCGTATAAATTTTTTCTGACTTCTCTCTATGACATCGGTTCAAATATTTTTTAATGGAATTGAAATCAGATGACTGAGCAGGCCGATCCATAAGTTCAGTCCCGTTCTCCACTAACCAATTTTTTACCCTACAACTGATATGTTTTGGATTGTTGCCTTAAATGAAAATCCATTTTAGCAGCATACCTTCTTCTGCATAAGGCAACATGCTGCTTTGTTTCCAGATAAATATGTTTTTCCATAGTTCTATCTATCTTATAGATGGATTCTACTCCTAGATAGAAAAAACAACTCTAAATACTAATTTTTGATCCACCATGGATCAAAAATTAGTACTTATAATTATAACAGTATTTATAGTTATTGCGGTTTGTAGGAAGATATAACTTGCCTTCTTACGTATACCCGGCATCTTTTTCTTACGTATACCTGTACCTTCTTGATCTAAATAAAACAATTTTGCTTTCATCAAACCACAAGTTGTTCAATTTGAAGCAAAATAACCAACAACATTGCACTGATTTTTTTTGTATTGGAGAAATCTAAAGTAGACTAGAAGTTTTATAACTTATTTTTTTATACCCTATTTACCCCCGAAAAGTGATAAAGTTACCCCCTTTAAGGTTATAATAACAGAGTTGCGGATTTTCAATTTTGTTTGTTTCAATCTGTACGTACAATCTTCTCTTATATCAAGAACAATTTGCTATAAAGGCACTCTGGACAGCCTCCTCTGTACGTACAATCTTCTCTTATATTAAGAACAATTTGCTTTAAAGGCACTCTGGACAGCCTCCTCTGTACGTACAATTTTCTCTTATATCAAGAACAATTTGCTTTAAAGGCACTCTGGACAACCTCCTCTGTACGTACAATCTTCTCTTATATCAAGAACAATTTGCTTTAAAGGCACTCTGGACAACCTCCTCTGTACGTACAATCTTCTCTTATATCAAGAACAATTTGCTTTAAAGGCACTCTGGACAACCTCCTCTGTACGTACAATCTTCTCTTATATCAAGAACAATTTGCTTTAAAGGCACTCTGGACAACCTCCTCTGTCTGTTCAGCTTATGATCCTAAAAAACAACAATTAAATTTCACAAATGGGAAAATTTGGCAAACAACTATATGCACTTGTCATCTATTGAAATTTATTTTTGTAGGTCAGAAAATGATGCTTTACACTCAACAATAGCTGAGCAAACATTGCTTCCTAACTCATATCCAAATATGCCCTCCTTAACTTTTGAAAATATTTTAAGACAATGAACGATAGGTATTATATTACTTCGAGTCATCAACACATCTCTCTCTAAAATGTCTACTTTTTCTAGAAGTTTTGTGGTGTTTTAGCCATCAAAGCCTATCCCATGATAACCTTGAAGTAAGATATAATCTTAATTGAGCCAATTCGTAAACAGAGGCCAATGATCTAAAAGTAGTCTTCCAAGTTGTGTTACAATCCCCATAAAAAGATGTAAGTAATTAATTTTGTCTTTAGGATCAAATAAACAATTCTAAGAATCATTACACTTTTAAAAATCTTTAAACAAACGTAAAAACTTGCTAAACGTGTAACGATAGCTAGGCACATTAGAAGATCTACTTAGAAATGTCTTTCCCTTAAGCTTCATGGAGCAACTCTCCTCTCCCTCTCTCAGTTTTGGGTTAAACATTTTTTGGTTCGACGAAGCACTTTGTTCAAAGCTCGCATCGCTAAGATGTAATTAATAAATAATTGAGCTAAAATGGAAGAATTTGGAAAGGTTAATTGGTATGCTTCTCCTTAAAAAATTTTTTCTCAACTAGCAATAAGAAGTATTGCATTTTAGGGCCATGTTGTTAGGGCCATGTTGTTAGGGCCATGTTGTTAGGGGCCATGTTGTTGTCTAAAAACTCAACCTAAGCTTAGTATGTGCTCTGCATGCTCCCACTTCTTCAGAAGTGAGGCATGAGCACTGTCAATTAAAATAGAATAATTAACTTAATAGTATAATATTCGCTTGCATCCTGAAAATAAATTATACAGCTCCTAAATAATTCCTAAAATATTGGTTATTTCAGAACAATATTTTACAACGGATTCAATAACTAGATTTAATCAATGTGCATAGCACCAAACATACATAGCTTTTGGAGCTCTTTCAAAGGTTAATGTTAATAGACCAGTAAATTTGTCTCTCCAATTACTTGCGCCATTGTAACTTTGACTAATAACCCAATTTTATTTGACTTTGGTACCTGATAAAAAGGAAAAAATTTGCTCACTCAGAATTTTTCCACATGTTTCAACTGTTATAAACAATTCAATTATTCTCTTAACTGGACGTGGAAACTTTCCAAAATAAAGTAAGATGAGGCATTAAAATTCCATTTTAGATTCATCATAGATTCATTATAGATTCCATCACTAATAATAAAACACACCTTTTGGTTCTTTACGTCTGTCATAATTTTTTCAACAATTAAGTTTTTGATTGTAGTTAACAATCGCCGTACATTAAAAGGACCGATCTCAAAATCATTTGAACAAATAGTATTTAAAATTTCTAAATAACTGGCTGATGAAGCATTAAATTTAGAAAACTCTCAAAAAAATGCAAAAATCTTCTCTCCTCGTGACCACGGATAGCCATCACTTCCTGTAGACAAAAATTTCAAATATTTAATAAACAAATATACGACTTGCCTATTCTTTTCTGATGATGAAATGTTTCACCTTATCTAGTCGATTCTTGTACCATTCACTTTTTGCTAGCTCAGCTTCGTGAAGTTCCCGACTGCTTTTGTGATTTACGGTATCTCTTGATGCATTTTTCCAATTATTTATTCATTTGTTGACCTAATTCACTAATGCTGATGGTTCTTTAAATAGGAGACAATCAACACAAAACAAACAATTATTCAACATTTACAGTTTAAAAGTATATAAATCAAAAACACTGGCTGGGCAAGTAGAAAACATAATTTTATCTTATCACCGAGCCCCAATCCTACGTATTTACAATAACCGTATTATATATGTGTACTTTACAAATTACTTTATTTTAAAAAAAACAACAATATATATATATATATATATATATATATATATATATATATATATATATATATATATATATATATATATATATATATATATATATATATATATATATATATATATATGTATATATATATATATATATATATATATATATATATATATATATATATATAAAAGTAAAATAAATCCCAATTCATTTATAGTTTAAATAAGAGTTCAGATTAGATTTCAACAAGAGCATTCAAGATTAGAGGAAACACCATAACTAAATTAATGAAAAAAAGTTTATACATTCTGTGACACATGTTTTCTGTTTTTAATTGTCTTATTCATTAAATATTTAGTTTAATGAATCCGTTGGGACTGAATAGTCATTAGCAGCTTTATGTAATGTCACCACTTTTCTTTAGACTGCTTCGATAGCTAATTTGACTCTACTTTTATCCGAATTTCCACGATTGGTCTAACGTTCGTAACTTCTAACTATCATAAATAACCATAAAATGTTTTAAAAAGACTCTTTAATATTTTCTGTGTATTATAACAAGTTAGGAAAAACCTATGCTAGCTTATAAATTAAAATTTTTTTTTTCCCTCAAAGACCATTTGTTAAAAACAAAGTTTTTACCTTAAAAATCAAACTAAGTTAACTTTTCTTCTGATGAATGAGCATTTATCAAGACTAAAGCTTGCACCAATCAAGTCTTCGCTAAGAAAAATATAATAGCTTCACTATTCAGAAAATATATACACGTTGGCCCGACGTCGGCAAAACGTAGGCTTTTACAGCGGCCGATGGTAGTTTAACTATGTTGGGCCGACGTAGTTTTTGCTCATCAGAATGATGTAGGCCCGATGTCGTCGGGCCTATATCAGTAAAACGACGTTGGGCCGCTATTAGTAAAATGACATCAGGCTAATATCAGTAAAAGGACATCAAAGGACATAATTTTAAATATTCTTTCTAAACTATTTAATACCTCATTTACAAGTGGAAAATTTCCTGATATTTTGAAATTGTCTTGCGCTATTCCAATATTTAAAAATGGCTCTAAACTTTCATGCTCTAACAACAGACCTATTTCTCTTTTATCTAACATTAGTAAGCTTCTTATTATAAAATAGAATGAGAAATTATCGAAAATTACATAATAAAACGACGAAATAATTATTTGTTTTTTTATTATTATTCGAACTATTTTTTAAACAATTTCAAATAATTTTTAAATAATAAAAATATAAAAAATAGTTAACAGCAAATATTTCACCAACTTTCGAAGCATGTCGGTATACAGTTCGCCAATTATACAGTAAATTTAACGTTATTAGTTATAACTAGGGTGTTTCTGCATCGCAGGACATTTGTCATCTTTATGCGTCACATATCATATGCGATCTTATGCTATCATACCCATGAAGTATTATCACAGTATGAAACACGTTAGTCATAAGATTTCTACTACTCTTTACTAAGATTTATTAAATCTAAATATTAACTTATTTAATCTAAAGTGAAACTTAGTATGAGTAATTACAAAATCAACATATAAATCAATTTATTAGTATTCAAAATTTTTCATTTTTTAATAGTATTAAATATATATTTAATTCTATTAAAAAATGGAATTAAAAAATATTCATATAGCAAAGATAATACTTTTTTGCAATATTGCAATTATGGCAAGTTGTTTTTGTTCGTCTTCTACATTATTTGCAACTTCGTCGTTCAACTCAAACTCTAATCTTCCCCGCTTTGCGCGACCTTGGCTCCTATCTATTGCATTTCGAAGCCATTCCTTCACTGCGTCTTCTACTTCAGCATCTGTAGCTTTTTTTGTCAATGGATTAAGTCGAACTGCATCTAATGAAACAAAAAAATTAAATTTGTATTTATTCATAAATTTCATAAAGTGCCTTGTTAAATTTAACAAGTATAGTTTTTCGCCATAACTATCGAAAATTGGTTAAACAAGCAATCGATATCTAGACACTGGCGTAGGAAAGTCTATAAAGTTTTGGAGGCTGAAACAGAAATTAAGGCATCATGTATATATTTAAATTTATAAAAAATAGTATAAAAAGTTATGCATTAGGCATTTCTTTAAGTTTTCTATAAGTTTGAAAAAGAAAAAAAATATCAATCATTAAACTAAAAAAAATTTTTACTTCCAAAGTATTAGTTAAATTAACAATGATGACAGAAAAAAAAAATGTACAAAGATACGGTAGGAAATTTGTATAACAGAACTCTGCCGGCTAATAATTTGAAATTGCTCTAACCAAATGAAACACTATAGCAAAACGCCTTAGATAGTGATGCCCCCATTGTCATTGAAGAAGTCATCAATGAATAATTAGAATAATTTAAGGTTATTGCCATCATGGCAGATACGCATTAAAATTAAAAATACTGCTTTGAATAACGATCGCTATGAATTATCAAACAGAGTATTGACAGCTTCAAGGATTTTGCAAAATTTTGGTTTTAAATAATAATCACAGTCTTATTGATGAAAAAAATAAAATAAGAAGAACAAAAAAATAAAACCCACTTCAACGACTGTGTTTTGATGGGAAGAAGGAAAAACTTAAATCAAAGCGGTTTTGATGACCCATAAAGAGAAACATTGCTTAATTTTACAAGAATTAGGCTCCGTGTAAATTAATCATGTTTTACTCTCATCTGGTGAAACAATGCCAGCAATACTTCATATTTGAATTAAAGTGGATTTTCATTTCATGAACTGTAATCGAATGCAATGGCACTTTCATCAACACGAGATGAAAAACTGGCTTTATTCACACAATTGAAAAATATGTAAAAAGACCTGCAGTAAAATATTTGTGTTACACATCAAAAAATTCTCCTTTAAGCATTTGTTTCAAACATAAGACAATTAGCAGACAGAAACAACCAGTGATAAAATTTATTAGTGAAGATTGTGATATTCCAGAAATTGACCGCAAAATATCAAACAAAGATCAACAGTACTTTTTAAATATAAGTTCGGCTATTAACTCAGGTAGTTGAAGATTTATTTATTTGTGAATCTGGATCAATTTTATACTCAAGGTGGTTAACAACTGCAAATAGGGTTTTACAATTGCATTTGAGCCTTAAAACACCAAATAAAGATCATAAAATCTAAGTTTCCTTTTTTTTTCAAATTATTTGTCCCAGTATTTTTTTATATCAAAAAAGTAAAAACACTTCACAAATGGAGCTCAACATGTATTTAAAGAGATAAAGCGTGTACACGAAATAAATGTAAAAGTAGAAAAACTACTAAAAAAAATGTACTCATTAATTTTTATTTACCACTAAGTAATAATTTGAATACACTAATAAAAGAAGATAAAATATTTCAAAGAAATTAGTTTATTCCTGTGTGCATCTAATAAAATTTTGTACTTTGGTGGCACCATTTGGTGATTGTTATTCTGTGCTTGTGCACAGAATAACAATCAAAACTATTTAATACTTTTTTAAATGATATTTTCAAGCCTTACATAGTTTTTTTTTTTTCATTTTGCTATAGTGAGTTGAAGCTAAATCAGGCTAGAATACATATCTATAATAATATGATTTAATGAAAGGTAAAAGATGTTTTTGTAAATACTTTTTACTGTATATTTTACCAGAAGGAAAACTTGTTTTTGACTATGGTAGTAGACAAACGGTTTCAAATCAAGAAATTGGGTTTTAAAAGTATTATAAAGACAAAAAACCTAGATACTATAATTGTATAGACAATAATCATAAGACAAGAAGCGTTGACAAGAAGCTTTTCAAAGAAAGTTTATCAAGAGTTTTTAACCACCAAAAATAAATTTTCTTGCAACCGACTACATCAGATATGATTGACAGAAACACTGCAATGCTTTTACCACCATCTTTGATTCAAAGAGTCTCCGATAAAGATATTTAGTGAAAGTTCCAATTAAGTAAAACAGCAGTAGACTAAAGCTTTGAAAAGTTTCCATTTTATACCTAAGCAGTTGAGCGATGTTTGAAACTTGTTGCAGATGCTTCACAAAAAGGAGTATTTTAGTTATCGTGTGCACCATATACATAAAAAATACGTATCAAATTCCTTAAATCTAGTAATTATACTCTTAAGTTAAATTAAAACAAAAGAAAATATAAGATAATATAATTAAGTTTTAAAAACTTTTATGGGGGGGGGGGGTAGTACTACCCCGAAATAGTTTTAAAGATCTTTTTTTTAAAAAAAGTCATTTTTTCAGTCAATTTCTTTAAATTATTGGGAGGCAAATGTCCCTGCTGCCCCTCACCCTTCCCAGATTGCTACGGGCCTGAAATAAGGCAAGACTTCAACTGTTTTTGTTTTTTTTAATTTAACCATCTTGTATTTTTAAATGCATCTGAACTTCTATTGTATATCTGATTTCTCTCATCTTTTATGGTTTTTTCTTTTTATTATTGTTATTTTGATTTTTTCGTGTAATTCTTTTTTTCCCTGCTACCACCTTAACTATTGTTTTTATCCTTGTTATACCGTTCTGTTATTGCGTTACTGCGGTCTATTATTCTTTTCTAAGTATTTACTTTCTATTGATGCACAAATCCTTAATGTACTTTACACTACTAGATATTTTACATTTTCAGTCCATTTTTAGATTCAAGTAAATCTCTTTGCTACTTTGATTCGAAACCAGACTTGTAATAGTGGTGATAGCGTAGTTTACAAAACTAAACATCAACTAAAATTTAGAAATAACAATGAATTTTGTAAGCTGTTTTGGTAAACTCTTTTCAACCGAATTCTTGCTGAAATTACCATTAACCGCTATCGGTATATTCAGCAAGTTTAATCCAAGTATAATTCATACTAGGTTTAGGTTCAATCGTAACTTTTTAAATCAAGATTTAAAAAAAAAAAAAAATTTAAAAAGTAATCTGAAATCTTTTTATGCCTGTGAATCTAAGTATTTAAAAGATTGGGAGAAAAACTGTTTTTACCTCCTCACTATTATGTCCACTTTGAGAATAAATATCTAGTAATGATTTTATATTTAGAACGCAAGCAATAGCTTAACTGTTATGGAGTTTTTGGCGGTCGCCACATGATAGCAATATTTTATAAGCGTCTTTTTATAAATCTTTATATTTAGCTATATTTAATTAAAAATGAATAATTTTTGCACTTTTTAAAATTACTTTTTTATTTTATTTTGTTTTAAAAAAAAGATGATTCGTTCAAAAATTGAAATCTAACGCTTTTTTTTTTGGCTGAATGCCAACTTAATGCAAAGAGGTCTAAAAAGGCTCACTGTGACGTAATAACCTATTTTATTTTTGTCCGTTTTATTTTAATTAATGACTCAATTAAATTAAGTAATAATTGTTCCATTTCATTATACTTCTTCGTATTAAGTTTTTGGAGTCAAAAAGTTTGCATATATGGTACGGATAGATTTTTTTTTATATAATAATTTGTTTTTTGATTCAATTTTCTTGACTTTATTTTTATGTTTAAAAAATGTTCGGAACATAAAAATTGTTACTCAAATTCAATCTGACCTATATGTCATAAAAGTCATATAAGAAATCGAGTTTAGTCACTCAAGCTTTTTTTTTTTTTTGCAGATTTCCAAAATCATGAACAGATTTTGCAAATCTACTCAAACCATTTTTAGGTTATTGTATTTCATAAAAATATCTTAACTTAACTTATGTCAAATTACATAAAATTATGTTTAAAAGTTAAAAATTAAAAAAAAATAAAAATAAATAAAGTGATTTGCAAGTGCCAAAACTCTTCATAGCAGATTTTAGGTCATTTTTACACAAAAGGAGATAAAAATATATTTAGCAAACATTGTTTACAGAGTATTTCAATACTTAAAGCTTTTATTTTTACTTAAAGTTTTTATTTAGAATATATTCTTAAACATTTGTGACTTTAATTGTTTGGAGGTGCAATATAATTTGCCCACCACCTTGATTTTTTCAAAAAACTTTGTTTTGCAAATTTTTTCCCTCTTGAAATAACTGAATAGGAGCTTGTTGCCTTAATTTTAATTGAAAATTCGTTTTTGTTTTTATTGAATTTTGGTTTTAATTTTACTTAAAATTTGCGTTAAGTGACTGCATCGCCATTATATATAACAACTTTTAGAACTTTGAGTATTCCAATACTAATTCTTTGACAGTTTTTTGAAATTATTTATTTTAACAATTAAAGTCCCATTTATTTCTTTAATATTAGCATTTCAAAAAAATTGAATCTTGTTTGTATCATAATTCATTTATTTAACCATATTTTAATGATTAAAAATTTATTTATAGTTTACAAATCAGGTTAGGTGTCACTCATATAGTTAAAAACTAATTAAAGGAGTGACACCTAAATAAAATAAACAAAAAATAAAATCAATGTCAATATTATTAAATAATACAAAACATAAATTAACATGATTAAAATAAAAAAAAAAACAACAACAAATAAATGAAAATATAAAATGCATCTAATAATCTTAATACAGTTAAAATAATATGTGATAATAATATGTAATAACACCATATATAATTACAATGATAGAGTTTACATAACAGTAATATAAAAGAAAATAATATTAATAATAATATTAAAAATAACAAAAATAATTATAATAAAAGTGATTAAAATCAAGCATTAATATTATGATCATTATAAAACCTCAACATCACATTAAAAAAAACATTTAACAAATGAAAACACAACACAAAAAAAGCAACAAAAAATATAATGATGCATTACGCAACAAAAAGTATATATGAAGGAACAATATTAAAATGAAAGAGAGTGAGAAACAGAAAAAAAGAAAGTTAAAAATCAAGTTCTGGTACCCTAAAAATTACTGGACAAGTTAGGTTATATTTAAAGGCCTTTGCTATGTAATTAATATGTAATTGATTACATCTGGTTAAAAATGTGCATGGTTAGAATTCTGTAAGTGTAAACAGATCTGTAGACCAGCTTTGCACACTTCTTTATCTATTAGGCTGGCATAGATGTATTTATAATACATTGATTCCAGTTTAGGAATTAAATACTAAATCAATGCATAGGTTTTATCTCTGCTTTTATAACTAGGCAATTCATTCTATCATCTCCTAATGAGGGTACAGCTCTAAAACTCAGTTTTATGGTTCTGAGGCTGGCTGGTATCTCAAACTCTGTGGTAGCTCTCAGAGAAACTGATTCCATCAAAAACTATCAAAGTTTTGACAGTTCCTGTTCGTGTTTTACTATCTGTGCTTTGAGTCAAGTTCTTTAACAAATTTAAAATTGACTAAAGTATCAAAAACTATATATCACAAAAAAACCATTGTCATCACCAAGTTCTCTAAAGTTATCATTCACTAATATTCATGGTCTTTGAAGTAACATTTCTTCTGCTGAGTTGTATTTTTTTCAAACTTCACCAGACCTACTTTGAGTTCAGCTGCAATCTAAGTGTTGATGGTTATCTTTAAATCATAAAGACTCTAATTGTGACATACTTATCCTGAACATTTAGATTTGTAAAAGTTCATCCATTTGTTAAGAAATTAAGTGTGAATCTGGAGACTATTCTTTTATGTGTTTTCATTTAGCGTCACTTCACTATATCATCTTTCTCTTTTTTCTATATTTCTCTCCTTCATCTCAAGACTGCACTCTTTTCTATGTTATTTCTGATCAAAAACGAACGAAGCCTTTTCTCTTTATCCTTCAGCCAATATTGTTGTTGTTGGTGACTCTGCAGGCCTTAAGGTCCACAGTCTCCAACACAAATAGTCAATTTTCCAACTCGCATTCTTGAATCATTTACCTTTTCTACTTGATCTGAATCATTTCCCTTCTCTACTTAAATTATGTCTTGTTTTTGATCCTAATCAGTGCTCAGTTTCTCCACATTCATTACTGTGCTCAGTTTCTCCACACTCATTATTGTGCTCAGTTTCTCCACACTCATTATGCTTCTGATCATGGTTTAATCTCTATAAAACCATCATTTCATTTTTCTTCATCATCAGAATCCCCCTATCATTGTATATCTTACAACTACCTTAAAGCTGACTGGGACTCTTTCCTTGATTTTCTTCTTGGTGGCCCATTGGTAGAAATTTATGGTCCTCCTGTTGACCTGTTGGTTCTATCCTTGGCCCTATACATTTTTAAAAAAACATTAAGGAACATTCAGAAATTCTTACATAGATGGTGGCATTGTTTGTTGATGATACCATTTATTCTTGTTTTGATAAGAAGCCAACACTCTCTGATTGCTTGGAGGAGGAGTTTAAGTTTAAAAAAGATCTCTCTTCTGCTTCAGTATGGGGCTCTCAGTGGCTGGTGAACTTTAACTCAGACAAACTTAATTTATTTATTTTTTAATAATCATTGTTGTAGCAATCTTCCTATATTTATAAATGTTAATATGCTTGATGAGTCATCTACCCTCTGCCTTCTAGGATTAACTCTTACCTTCCATTTTTTTTGGAAACTGTACATTAAATCCATTGCAAAATTAGCATCTGCTAAGGTTGCATTGTGCCTATTACTTTTTAACTTTAGATATTCTTTTTCTCCATAAATCTCTAATCCTTCCTTGTATGGAATACTCTGTTGCCATATATAAAGCAGATTTTTAAATGATGCCCTTTCTCTTTTAGACAATGTGTAAAAATGCATTGTAAACATAGTTAGAACTGTATTTGCAGCCAACCTACAACCATTGATGTATCCTTTTTTGTTGCTTCTCTTTCTCTATATTTGTTTTATTGTTATTTCTCTTTGTGTCTCTTGTGCCATATACTTAATTTTATATTTCTTGTGCCATCTACTTAATTTTATATTATATACTTAATTACTTAATTTGTCATTCAATAAAGTATCATCCTTTTACTGTGACTGTTCGTAAATGCTCTAAAAATTCTTATTCTTCTAGTTTTTTTTTCTTTAAAAATAAGTTCTTTGGAATTCCCTCCCTTCATCTTGTTTTCCTGATTCATATAATTAGCAATCTTTTGTGTCGTCTGTTAATAATTATCTTGCTTTATAAACTTCATCTTTTCTCTTCCAGTAACTTCCAACTCTAATAGTTGTTGCTTGCAGCCTTGTTGGAAGTAAAGAAGTTAAAAAAAAAATGAAATATCAAAAACTTTTGACAAAGTCTTTTCGTATCAAGTAAAAGTTATATTTTTCAAACAAAAAAATTTCAACTTTATCAGGAAAGTTTTTCTACTTTATCAGAGAAAGTTTTTAATACTATTTTTATATTATTCTCTCCAAGTATTAATGATTAAAAAAAGTTCTTCATTTCTAGTAATGTGGCAGCGCAAGCTTTTATCTTATGTCGGTTTTTATTTTTTTTTACTTTGTCGGTGGTGTAGTGGAATTATTAATTTTAAACACCAAAAAGTGAATAAGCGAGAAAATAGCCCTGCTTTAGTTTAGTGGAGCTGTTTTTCTTATCCCCTCTAGTATCCTTTCCTTATCATTCTATTTATTTCTTTTCCTTTTAGTTTTACCTAAAAATATTCAATTTTTATATCTGTATATTTTTAAATGTATTTAATAGTATTAAATGTATTATATAGTTTTTTCAAAAAAAATAATATTTTTTTAAGGTTTTATCAAGATGGAAGTCACTCAAAAGCCTAAATCACCGATTCCAAGTCCAAACAATATTAGAAATCTTTCAAGCAAAATTATTTCTCCAAAGTTAAAATTTGACTTTAACTATCGTCTCAATACTGGTAAGATTATATTTGTTTGAAAATTTGATTAAGTAAAAACTTAATATTTCAGACACAATGGGCTGAGATCAACAATTATATGGGCGAAAAATCCAAACTCTTATTTTAAGAGATTTTAAATTGAAATTTTTTCAACGTCTATTGAGAAATAAGTAGTATGAAATTTGCTCTTGGTGTTCTTCCATAAACAATTATTTAGAGTTTATTTACAATTATTTAAACACTTGGTGTTCTTACATTAACAATTATTTAAAGTTAAAATACTAGATGTATAAATTTAATATAAATATTTTTCTTTGATTTTTGTAATTGCTTCACAGCCTTAAGTGTAAAAATAATAATTTAACAAATGAATTAAATACAAACAACAAAGAAAATGCTATCACTCTTAGAATATTAATTTTTTATTTTAAATAAAGAAAGAAATTGAATTTCAAATGTCTATAGCATAGAAATTAATGTACCTTAGCATCGCTGAAAATTTTTTTCCTTTCTTTGGGCTGAAATCCTTTTCTTTGTTTTTTTAGAAGCTTGGGTGAGTGGTTTAAAACTTGTACCTTGTGATCTTTTATATACAACTAACTAAAGTTAAATTATTGAATGTTTACATATGATATAAATATTTGCTAAAGCACAATTAAATAATCATGAGATCTATAAGTCTATTTATATTTATGAAATGTCATATATGTAGTTCATTAAAAAATATGGTGACATTTTAGGTTTTATCTAGTTCATCCACTTCAAAGTATTAATTGGTTTTATTTAGTACTTTTTTAAATCAGATTTTGTAATGTAATTCAAATAATTTTTCTTTTATAAAATCTTTGTGTACTTTTTCATTCCATTTTTTGTTAAATTGATTAAAAAAGAATTTGAGGTCTATGACAGAGATCCCTGTAACTTTATAAGTATCAGGGTCAGTAACTGGTTTGATTAAGTAGTTTTCCAAAGTGTGAAACAATTTACTTTTTACTCATTATGAAAAATAAAGAAATCACTTCCAAAGTGATTTCTTTATTTTTCATAATGATTAAAAAAAAAAATCAATTTGAAAATATTTTATAATTTTTTTTTAACTTTTAAATTAGTATTTGTATGTTAGATTATTAAAAATATGATTGATAGTAAAGTGAAATAAGTTAAAGTTTATTAAAAGGAAAACCATATAACTTACCGTATATCACCATCTTACTTAATCATATAATTAAATAAAGTGGAATTAAATTTTATTATTGGTATTAAATTTTATTATTTTCTGTGTGTTCTGAAATTACATTTAATTATTCAAAATAGTTGACAACTATGTTCTTTAAACAAATGTAAATAACAAAAAAGTTATATATTTAAAAACCATTAGACTTAATTTGATGTAACTTTGCGCAATATATTTTTAATATGAAACAAACAATATTGACAAACTGTAAAAAAGTTAATCCCATAGTGGGAAGGCATAAGCACAAATAGATTTAGAGTTTTTTATAGTACATTTTATATTGTTTTTATATACATTTTATAGTACATTATTTTTTATCATATTTTGACTGACACATTTAAATTTACAAAATAAAGGTAAAAAAACAAGATTTTTTTTGTAAATATCTTTTGAAAATAATGCAGGTATGCAACTATTTAGACTATAAAATTTTAATTGATTTTTAAAAATATCAACTTACTGGATGAAATTAAATTTTTTTTTTTCTTTTTTTTTTTTTTTAATTTAAAACTACTTTTTTTTTGAAAAAAAAGTAGTTTTAAATTTTAAAAAATAAAATTGCAATTTCTAAAAATAAAAAGCAATTTCTAAAGCGTTAATACAGATGATTTATACTTGATTGCACAGACAGAAGAATTCAGTTTTTAAAAGATGAAATGGAAGCAAAAAGTCTAAGGACATGACAAAGCAAATTTTCTTTTTCTAGTTTATAAGATAAGTATTCATAAGAGATGTTGTCGTATTTAAGGTGCTGTGTTTATTACTGTTGGAGTGTAGTAAATGCACTTTTCTTGAATTCAGAGAAGTCAAAAAAAGAAGATTGAATTAGTAATGGAAAGATAGTGTGTTAGTAACTGTAGTGATAGTGATGTTTTCTCAGAGATACTTATGGATTAGCTGGTGGGGCAAAATAGATATTAAGGTAAGAGTAAGTTCGACCATGTTTAAAGTATTAGCTACACTCCTAACAGTAAGAGGTGCATCTTTAACGATAAAAGGAAAGTTATACACTGCATGTGTCATGAGTGTTGGTTAATAATAACCTTAGAGATAGTGAGAGTATTTTATTGTGTGTCTCAAGAAAAATTAAAGTGGTTTGGGCATGTAGAGCATAAAGATAAAGAAGATTAAGTATCAGCATGCTGATAACAGTTTCAGGAGGAAAAGGAAGAGTCTAAAGTTGTAAAACTTGACAAGTGTGCCATAAATAAATGCCATAAAAGAGCTTCAGTTAAGAAAAGAAGATCCTCAAGATCATGTTTATTGGAGATCTTATGATTGTGTTTATTGCAGATCTTGTGATCTTAGTGTTAATGGTTATCTTCCTTTAATTCGTAAAAACTCCAATAGTCACATGCTTGGCCTAGGCATTTACATTCATAAGAATTCACCCATTTGTCGGGAAACTAGGTTTGAATCCTCAGACTACTCTTTTATGTGCTTTCGTTGTTCTATATTTTTGTTCTATCTTTTATGTGCTTTTGTTCTATATCGCTCTCCTTCATCTCAAGACTGCACTCTTCTTGATGTTATTTCTGATTATATTGACCAAGCCCTCATTCTTTATCCATCAGCCAATATTGTTGCTGTCGGTGACTTTAATGTTCATCACACTGAATGGCTTGGCTCTAGTGTCAGTGACTCTGCAGGCATTAAGGCCCACAACTTTTGTCTTCCTCAATCCCTTACTCAAATAGTCAACTTTCCAACTCGCTTTCCAGACAATCCGAATCATTTACCTTCTCTACTCGACTTATGTCTTGTTACTGATCCTAGTCAGTGCTCAGTTTCTTCACACTCACCCTTAGGTGCTTCTGATCATGGTTTGGTCTCTCTAAAACTATTATCTCATTCTTCTTTACCATCAGAATCCCCCTATCACTGTACATCTTACAACTACCTTAAAGCTGACTGGGACTCACTCTGTGATTTTCTTCGTGATGGCCCCTGGGTAGAAATCTTTCGTCTTCCTGTTGACAAATGTGCTTCTTACATAACTTTGTGGATTCAGGCTGGCATGGAATCCTTTATTCCCTCTCAAGGATTCCAGGTCAAGCCTTACTCTTCTCCATGGTTTTCCTCACATTGTGCTGCTGCAATTGCCAATCGAAGCCATTACTTCCAAATCTATCAGCAAAACAATTCTCCAGAAAACAGACGTCTGTTTATTACTGCTAGGAACCATTGTAAAAAGGTTTTGTCTAACGCCAAAGCCCGCTATTCTCAGATCATGAAATCTCGTATTTCATCACAAAAATTAGGCTCTCGTGACTTCTGGAGAATCTTTAATAGTATCAATAATAAGGGTAAGTCTGTAATTTCACCTCTTTTGTACGGTTCAGCTTTGTCACCTCACCTAAGACAAAGCTGAATTGTTTGCCAAGAACTTTTCATCAATATCATCTCTGTATTTAACTAGTTGCGTTCTACCTGATATAGCCGTCAAACAGGTTGATCCACTGCTCGACATCTGTATCACTCCAGCTTCTGTATCTAAAGTGATTTCCTGCTTAGACTCTTCTACAGCTTGCGGCCCGGACAACATACCTGTTATAGTCTTGCAGAAGTGTTCTCCGGAGCTGTCATCTATCCTTTCAAAACTATTTAAAAAGTGCTTATCAGAGTCTTGTTTTCCAGCCTGCTGGAAAACAAGACTTAAGCATCTGTTATCCCTATTTTTAAAAATTCTGGAGAGCGATCTGATTCGTCTAACTACCATCCCATTAGTCTTCTTCCTATCATAAGCAAGGTTTTTGAATCTTTAAATAACCAACACTTAATCTCTCATCTCAAATCTCATAACCTACTTTCTGATCATCAATATGGATTTCGATCTTCTTGTTCTACAGCTGAATTGCTAGCAGTAATAACCGATAGGTTTTATCGCGGATTAGATAAAGGTGGAGAGGTCAAGGCCATCGCTCTTGAAATTTCTAAAGCATTTGATAAAGTTTGGCATGCTGGTTTTCTCCATAAATTTCTTCTTACGGTGTATCTGGAAACATCTTTAAGGTTATTAAATCCTTCCTTTCCAATCGTAGTATAAAAGTTGTCCTTGATGACAGCACTCTTCTTTATATTCTGTAACCTCAGGGGTTCCTCAAGGTTCAATCCTTGGCCCTATATCTTTTTAATTTCCATTAACGATCTTCCAGATTTTTTCACATCTAAGGTGGCATTGTTCGCCGATGATACTACCATTTATTCTTGTCACGATAAGAAGCCAACTCCCTCTGATTGCTTGCAGGGGGCATCTGAGCTTGAAAAGGATCTCACTTCTGCTACAGCATGGGGCTCACAGTGGCTGGTGAACTTTAATTTAGATAAAACTCAATTTTTTTCAGCCAATTATTATTGCAATAATTTAGACCTTCCTATATTTATGAACGGTAATGTACTCGATGAGTCTCCTACCCTTCATCTTCTAGGATTAACTCTTCTGATCTTTCTTGGAAACCTTATATCAAATCCGTTGCAAAATTAGCATCTGCTAAAGTTGCTTCTCTTTATGGAGCTCCTTACTTTCTTACTCTGGATTCTATTCTCTATCTCTATAAATCTCAAATCCGGCCTTGTATTGAATACTGTTGCCATATCTGGAGCGGATCTTATAATGATGCCCTTTCTTTTTTAGACAAAGTTCAAAAACGCATTGTAAACATAGTTGGACCTGATCTTGCAGCCAACCTTCAACCTCTGTCACATCGTTGTAATGTTACTTCTCTTTCTCTTCTCTACAAACACTATAATGGGCACTGCTCTAAAGAGCTATCGTCTCTTGTGCCATCTACTAAAATTCATTCTCGTGTTACTCGTCATTCAATTAAGTCTCATCCTTTTTCTGTTACTGTTCCTAAGTGCTCCAAAAACTCTTATTCGTCTAGTTTTTTTCCTCGAACATCAGTTATTTGGAATTCGCTTCCTTTATCTTGCTTTCCTGATTCATATAATTTGCAATCTTTTAAGTCGTCTATCAATCGTTATCTTGCTCTATAATCTTCATCTTTTCTCTTCCAGTAACTTCCAACACTAATTAGTGATTGCTTGCAGCCTTGTTGGAAGCGAAGATGTTTCAAAAAAAAAAAAAGATACAATTTTATCAGAAATGTCTAACCAGTGCAACTAAACAAGGATGATAAAAATATTGTGCAAAAAATGTGCATTTAAGTATTTAGTTTATTAGACTTTCCTACTGATTCAAAAAATATGAAAGTTTTCAATTCCACTGAAGAATCAAAAATTTCTATCGACAACTCATTTTTTGTAAACTTTCTTTTATTTAAATGCTTTTACTTTAATGTTTTATATAATTTAGATTTATTTTGTGTTTCTTTTTATATATTTGATTTTAATATTATTTATTTATTAACTTATAATCCAGATTAATAACTAATTCAAGGTTTGTCAATGAGTTCTTTATAATTTTAACAAATATATTATTGGCATGGATTGCCCGTCTCAATTAAATTTTTTGTTAATAAAATACTTAATAAGTTTAAACTATTTACTTGGTCAAGCGTTGAGTTTATATAGGAGGAATCTATAGGAGGTTGTGGAGTAATTGTTGATAAGATTATTATTAAAAATTGCTGATCCATTGTTAGCAGGCAAGTTAGCTACAACATCCACAATTGATTGATGTAGATATGTAGCTAGTAAGTCGGTGTAAAAGCTGTATGAAATTGGTTGAGAAACTTTCAAAAATCAACTGCAAAGAATATGAGAGATCAATTACTAATTGTTCAGTTTATGGATGTTGCCTCAATAAGCTGTGCAAGTTAGTAAGAAGCTTCCGATTGTATATTAGTTGATATAATTAGGGTATATAAGCATATTTTATTTAATATGATAAATATCCTTGTGCAAAACATTTTTAAAAATTCAGACAATTTTTAGATCAATGTTATTAAGAGGCTCGGATGTGTAAGTGAGATTTTGGTAAATTCAAACATATATGAGTGTTTTTATAAACAAACTATATATTTTTTAAAAATGCCTTCTTTAATCTAGACACTTTTTTAGAAAAGAAATAATAGGTTTTATATATATATATATATATATATATATATATATATATATATATATATATATATATATATATATATATATATATGTATGTATATATGTATGTATGTATATATATATATGTATGTATATATATATATATATATATATATATATATATATATATATATATATATATATATACACGTATTAGTGCTTGCATATATCTTTGCGAGAGTGCTCAATGAATTAAAGTAAATTAAAATGATTTAAATTAAAACAGATATATATATATATATATATATATATATATATATATATATATATTATATATATATATATATATAAAACCTTTATATATTCTTTAAATCTTCAGTTTACTTCAGTTTAATTATTTACTTTATGTTTTATTTAGGAGTACGCAGAAAATGTAGTGAGAAAAAATATCACCCATTAAAAATGATATTTGTGCATGATCCATTGAACTTAGATTCATTAACAAGCAAATCAAATGGTATTGAATCACCTAATATGAGGTCACCAGTTCCTGATCGTTCTTGCGAGTTTCAACCAAGACTTCTTCAACCAGTCGATTTACGAGATCCCTTAAGTCTCAATTGTCTTGATGATACCGCACAAATACTAACACCATTGCGTAAGCGGCGTAAGAGAAAGAGAAGATTTTCAGCTGGAGATCCCTATGATACTCTTTCTTTTTCTATGACAGAAATTAGCCCTAAAAAATCTTCTTTTAAATTTGACACACAAAAAAACAATGTATGCGATGATCTTTTGATTAGATCAGATCCTTCGTGTGTTGAATGTAAAAAGGAAAAGACATCTTTTGTAAAAAAAGATATTTATAGAAGTTTAACTAAGCCTAATTTGTTATGTGAAAAAAAGAAAAAAAAAGAAAAAACATTTACATATGGCAATTACATAAAGTCAACAAAAGATGATGAGCGGCTCAGTTGTTTCAGTAAACAGTGGTTTTTTAACAAAAATTGTCTAGACATAGGGTGTAATAATGGAAAAGTGACACTTGAAATTTTAAAGCGATTTGACCCAAGTTTTATAACTGGTGTAGATATTGACGATCGACTTATTAAGTTAGCAAGAAGTTATGCTCGAAATGATTCATATATGCCATCAAGACAGAGGTTTCCTGTATCTATAAAACAAACATATGGACCAATGCTAAATACACGAATACTTCAACATGGATTATCTGGAAATATTTGCTTTATAACAGTAAGCGCAACTTGCTTTTATTTATTTTTTTATTTTTGCATTATTTGTTATTAAAATAGCTGAAAGAAGATCTGATACGATTTATCTCCATCACAATGCTTTTAATGTCTTTTATCTATAATGCTTTCATTGCTAGGACATGTTTCAAACATGTTACTTGTTATTTTCTATACAGCTTGATTTGATTGGCTGATTTTATAAGACTGTTGAATAATTAATTTTTTTAAATAGTAATGCTAAATAAACTGTTTAGCAAAACTATGTACCATGTGAACTGGACGATCTCAGTAAAATTAAAGAAGAGTATGATACTATCACATGTCTAAGTGTAACAATGTGGGTACAACTGAACTTTGGTGACTCTGGTCTTAAAAGAATGTTTAAAAAAATATTTATGCAGCTAAAACCAGGGGGTAAACTACTTTTAGAACCACAACTTTTGAAATCATATAAAAAGAAAAAGAATCTTTCTGTAAGTTTGATTGGTTGACTTTTTATTTAATTTTTAATTTTTTTTTCTGTGTATCTTTGTGCACATATTATTCAAGGTTTGAAAATCGAAATTTTAGTTACTTTCATTTAGATAACCATACTTCATCATTTTAAAAGCATAAAACTTTTCCCAAATGATTTTGTAAGGTATCTTCTTTCTAAAGAAATTGGATTTGCTACCAGCGAGTGTCTCATTTACACGCACCATAAAAAAACAGGTAATATTTTTATTTATTCTTCTCGATTTACTTTCTGTAAAACTTTTCATCATTTAAAAAATATATTTCAACATTTTAATTGAATGTAGACTAAATATTTTATTCATTTATTTTAAAGGTGGAAGACCGCTGTTTCTTCTTACAAAAAGTTCGGGATCTAATATAGTTTAGACATTAATTATGTTATATATATATATATATATATATATATATATATATATATATATATATATATATATATATATATATATATATATATATATATATATATATATAATCATATATCATGTAAATAAATTTAATTGCATCGTTATATAATTTTTAGAAATTATCAAATATGTATTTTTATATTTTGTATGCATCTTATTGCATAGAATTAGTCAACTAGTTTTTTTAATAAGAAACACTTTTTGGCTTCAGCTTGAAGTTTGTTAACTTTGTGGCAGCTTGAAAAGTTTCTTAAAAGCAACACATTATTAAGATGCTTGAAGAAAGAAAAATGCAGTGTATTTGTTTATTCAGAATATAATTATTTGTAGAAACAAACGAGTTAGTATGCGCTTAAAAAAGCTAGTCGGCGCTAAAACAAGTCTCTTTAAATATAACTTTTGAAAATTTTATAGAAAATAAAAATTTTGAAAAAAAGAAAAGCCTAGATGTATTTGAAGATACATTGATTGGAAACAAGAAAAATTATATTTACTAGGATTTTCATAAATTAAGTTTTAATTCAAGTTTAAATTGAAACATAATTGCCTTTCGTTACTGTGTTTAGCCGCTGTACAACATTTTTTAAATACTGCCCCCGCTGTTCCTTAACCTCAGAAATTTCCGTTGCTGTTCTATAAATTTGAGTAAATTTGGACATGAATGTATTTATTTAGCCTAACATCTTATTGATAACGTAAAAGCTGACGTAAAAACATTTTAAAATATTTTAGTATACTATTTATCTACGCAAATTCTGATTTTGAAAAATACTCAATGGGCTAAAGTACTTTAGATTACGTTTTAACTTACCCTCTTTTACTACAAATCAAACTAAAATATGTCTAAAAAAACTAAAATGTGTAATAAAACTAACTTAAATGTAAAGTGTTTAAAAGATTTTTAAAGGTATGAGTGGATGCATCATTTTGCTTTTTAAACTAGCTATTGAGAAAACTTCAAACTTGTTTAAACTTATGTCAAATAACAAGTCTCTTTAAAAAATTTTTAAAAAATTGCAATGATTGCGCGGCCGTAGCGCAGTGGTTACAACGCTTGCTTTATAAGCAGGAGATCCAGGTTCGAAATGAGCTCTGGACATATTTTTACGGCGTCACGGTAAGGAAGGAGGCGTGAACTTCCTGGTTAAATGCACTTCCGCGGTGCTATGTGACAAGACCGTTAGGTCTTGTCACATAGCACCGCTATGTGACAAACACATAGCATGCTATGTGACAAGACCGTTAGGTCTTGTCACATAGCATGTGACATGACCGTTTGTCACATAGCATGTGACATGACCGTTGTCACATAGCATGTTTTTTTCACATAGCATTTTCCGTTGTCACATAGCATGTTATTGTCACATAGCATTTTTTTTATTTAGGTGCCCCAAGAAAACCTATGTGACAAGACCTAACGGTCTTGTCACATAGGTCTTCTTGGGGCACCTAAATAAAAAAAATTCGACCCTGGCAACATAAAATACTAATCCATGGCTTTTATAATGGCCATTAGATCTTTTTAGAATTTCCTAAATTAGAAAAAAAAAGTTATATTTGAAAGTAAATTTGATAGTAAATATATTTGAAACACTATGAATTTATGTCAAAAAAAAAATTCATTTTTTATTACAGTATTTCACTTCTTGAAAACTTTTTGCCAGTAATATTTAAATTTTGTTTTTTCATTTGATTTGTATCATTTTTTTTGAACATTAATCAGTAACTCATGCTTGTAATAACCCTAAAAATATATAAATATTTTTTTCGGGGAGGATTTCTGAAGGAATTTTTAAAAACCTACCCGGGACACAAACTCTGCCTATAATATATTTATAAATACTTTCTAACACTACAACAAACATTTCCCAGTTAAAGAGAAAGAAATAAAGCTAAAACGTTTAAAATATCCATGGAATTAGAAAATCATCAAAAACAAAGCAAAAAGTTTGTATCAAAAATTTTTTTTCTGAACTAAACAATGATGAATAGAAATTGCAAAAAACTCGCTTAAGATAAGTATAAATAAGGCTCCTGGAATAGACAGTGTTTGTAGCTATATATTTGTAAATGTGTTTCCGGTGGAAAACCAACCTATCGTTGAAATATTTAAGTCTTCAGTTATTACAGGATCTGTACCGGATAAATTAAAAATAGCAAAAACAATACTAATGTTAAAAACCGGAAACTCATTTACACTAAATGACTACAGACTTATTTCAATTCTTCCTGTATTTTCAAAACTTTTGGAGAGAATAATAATGAATAATTTGCATATCATAATAGAATAATTTGCATATCATAAGAGAATAATTTGCATATCATAAGAGAAATTAAAAATATACAATAAAATATACAAATATCTTGTAATAATCAAAATCTTAAATGAAAAACAGTTCGGTTTCCAGAAGCAACATTCAACTGAACATGCAATTTTAGGTCTTATAACTAATACAAATGACTCCATTGAAAACAAAAATACGTCCTTGGAGTCTTTGTTGATTTATCTACGGCGTTCGAAACAGTTGATCCCGCCATCCTAATTGGGAAAATGGAAAAATACGGGATAAAAGATGAAAAATGAAAAAAAAAAAGGGATAAAACAATGCGTTAACGCTCATGAAAAAAAAATTCTCAAAATTACTTAAAATAAAATGCGGTGTCCCCCAAGGTTCCATTTTTATGCCTCTCTTATTTTTAATATACATTAATGGTCTCCCTCAAGTAAGCTAGATGTCATAATGTTTGCAGATGATACTAATTCATTTTATGCATCCTCATCTATAACAGAACTTTATGAAACAACAAATACTGAATTTGAAAAACTAAACAATTGGTTTAAATCGAACAAATAATCACTAAACGCAGAAAAAACAAAAAATATTCTTTTTCATCCTAACCTAAAAAAAATACCACCCCATTTACCTTCGTTAAATGTAGATACTAAAGAAATTGAGAGAACCTTAGCAACTTAATTTCTTGGGATACTTATTGATGAAAATATCTCATGGAAAGCGCATATAGATATATTAAACAACAAAATATGGAATCCTCTACAAAGCTAGTTTTATACTGTCTTCTGGAAATTTATAACTCCTATATTTCTCGTTCACACAAAGCTATTATGTATACGCTATAATCCAAATTGTCCACACTTTATCGAAAACAAAAACAAGCTGTAAGAATAGTTTATAATAAGGATAGACTCTCGCCAGCTGAGGCACGATTAAAAAACTTGAAAGCATTAAATGTATACAAAATCAACATATTCCAAAATCTGATATTCATGCTAAAGTATAAACTTGGACTTGTTCCTCCTCACTTTTCAAAAAATTTCTTCCAAAATAGCGAAAAAAGATATGATACAAGTGTGTGTGTGTGTGTGTGTGTGTGTGTGTGTGTGTATCTGTTTCTGTGTGTATGTATGTATGTTTATATATGTATGTTTATATATGTATGTATGTATATGTATATATATATATATATATATATATATATATATATATATATATATATATATATATATATATATATATATATATATATATATATATGTATATATATATATATATATATATATATATATATATATATATATATATATATATATATATATATATATATATATATATATATATATATACATGTATATAATTGCGGTTTCTTGATGACAAGACTTGCAGTCTTCTGCAAGTTTCCTGCATTCTTTATAATATAAAATTCAATACTCTAAAGTATTATTTTATATATTTTTGTATAACACAATATCGTGGATTTTTATCATTTTATTATACTCTGTAAACAATTTTTATTATATATATCACAAAGTTGTAATGATTAAAGAACAAAAAATTAAAAGGAAAAAAAAAATTAAAATACTTTTTCTATATTTTTAATTCAAGTTTTAAATTTAAACAAGTCATTCATGAAAAAATAAAAATAGTAACAGGCCTGGCAGAAGTGTCACTTACCAGTTAATAATATCACTTTTTATGATAACTTCAACAACAATATTTATCTTTGAATGATTTAATTCATAATTACTGGTATTGTAATTATTTAGCATCATCACGCTTTGTTTCCAAGTTAATTGTACTATCTTTTAAAATAAGATAAATTGTACGCACTAGTTTATGTAACGCAGCGTGTTAAACATGGCCACAAATTTCATTTTTTAAAATTTTCTGCAGACCTATATGTATGCATTTTGAAAAATTCATACTTTACAGATTCAAATAAAGTTATTAAGGATGTTTTGAGAAAAAGTTATATATATATATATATATATATATATATATATATATATATATATATATATATATATATATATAGGAAAAATAGAAAATAAAACCGCTCCATGGACGTTGTTATTAATAATGAGCAACCGTGGCGCAATGATAGCGCACTTGCCTCAGAAAAACGGATCCGGGGTTCAAACCCCACCTGGGCAAATTTAGCGACATCGGTTAGGAAGGAGGCGTGAACTACTAATTTAATGCTCTTCCGTAGTGCTCTGTGATAAGACCTTAAAGACTTCTTGGGGCACCTAAAAATTAAAATAATAAATATTCTTCAGCCTTGTGATTATCTGAAAAACTTATGAACAACTGTAACAAAACTGTTGCAATCAGCAACGTCTCCGTCCTGTTCAGCATTTTGGCAAGGTCGTAAAATTCTATAATCTTCTTAATTTGTGGTCCGACAAAGGTAGCATTTCTACCTTTTGCTTCTAGGAACACTTGAACACTTAACCTCTTGGAACACTTAAATATTAGCGTCTTAAAACACCCAGACACTTAAACACTTACCCATAACGCTTTCAGTTTTTGATTGCTTTTTTGGAAGGGAGATTTTTGGAAGAGAATTCTAAACGACTTTACGCTTTATAACTATCTTTAAATAATTTAATGATAGTGTCGGATTTAAATTACATCATATATTAAATAATATTTAATATATAAATATTATTTTAGGTATTTGTTTTTGCTTATTTTTTAAGACTTTACTTAGTGTCATGGCTGTCCCAGAGCTAAAGAAAATAAGAAACTAACTAGAGATAGTAGTAATTGTTGAAAAACACTTTTTAACATTTTACTGCAATTATAATATGTGCCAAATATATGTACTTCAATGCACAAGGTTCACTATCACCGCAAATCATCAAACTTCTTTTAAATTATGTCAAAGGATTTTAGGATGTAGCTATGTCTTGTTTAAACAAGTTTAATGTTATATGAAAAAATGACTAGCTAACTAGTATTTACTAATTAAAAGTTATTAATTGAATCAAAAATAAAAAAAAAACTAGTTTGGCTTATCATCAACATAATCAA